TGTTTGTTGTATATGTATATATCGTCGTTTTCCATTAACCATATATATATATATATATATATATTTGTTATTGTTGTCTCTTGCATGTGAGATAATTCCCCCTAATAGGGAAATGTGTTAGTAAAATAAAATATTATATTAAGAACAAATATAAAATATTTTGAAAATAAAAATAAATTAAACCTTTTTAAATATTTTTTGGATATTAGTGTCAAAATTCACTGGTATTAGTATCGTTTATTAAAAATAAACATTGAAAATTATGCATACCAAATTATTTAATTGAAATAAAACATTTATTAATTTCTTTTATAAAACAAATCAACCCTCAGGTTCACATACAGTTATATAGGCAGATTAAAGAGGATAATTGTACACTACCATAATTATCCAACATTCAAATTCTTTTTTTTCTAAAAACTGACAATGTAATTTCTTGAACCATTTGGAATATAACCGGAAAATGTTATTAAGGAGAAACTGAATGTTAGAGAAAAGAATTATTCATCAAAATTTTGATATAAAACAAACTGTATTAGCATTGCTAAAAATTGTTATCGTAAAAGAAATCACCTTTCCTGCAATTGTTTACACTTTATCTTGACAAAAATTGGAAGACGAACAAGGCCTGTGTGAGTCATAGAAGTATACGAACTACATATTATAACTATCGACCTCTAACACCTCCAATTTTTTTCCTTATATTTTATCCTTGAAATAAATCAAAAATGGGATTTAGTTGGGTAGGGTAATAAATAGTCATCGTTACCATGTTCTCTCTGCTGAACCTAATACTAAAACAACGCTTTAAAAAGCCTCGAACGGTCAATCGATGATTCTACTATATTGTTCCAGTTTAAGTTCTAGTATTAGTTTACCTCAGTATGAATGACTAATGAATCCCAGTAAAGGAAATTTCCAATGACAACAACAACAATCGTCTAATCTAAGCCAGTTTGAAGTATTTTATATTAGTATAATACCTAAGTGTTTCTTTGATATTTTAATATATTATAGAAGTGTTTGACAAAGATAAATGTTAATTCCAAAGAAAATATCCATTACGATTTTGTAATTCTAGATAATAGAAAAATATATATTATTGTGGAAATAAAGAGTATTTGTATCTCATTTCTCTAGAATTTGATCATTTTTTGTTCTTTCAATACAAACAAATCGCATGAAACACTTAAGCATCAACCCTATCTCCTTCTCCGGAAAAATTCAAATTTAATGAAATACCTTTTTAAAATAAAAAATAATAAAAAAAACATAATTTTACAATTATTAATGTTTCACTAAAAACTAACTACTTGTATTGTTAATTAACATTATAGGTTAATGAAAGCTTATTATTGCATACAATTGCAAAAAACCAAATTGTTACTTTTGTTATAATATGTGTATGTACGTATATGTATATGCATTTACATTGCATTTTAAAATTAGAAGAAAAAAAAAATTGATTAAAATTTCAATTGATTTGTATTTATGAGGTTTTGTTTAGGCTTATATTTATAGATAGGAAATAATAAAATGTTATATATAAATATACAATTTTTGTATTGTCTTGCATAAAAAATCTAAAACATTATAATGTTAAGCATTTTTTAACTGGGTTTAACATTAATTGTTTTTCATGGTATTTAAAAGAAAGGGAGATATATAAAAAAGGTAATAATAGCAGTAGATAATAATCATGATGGCTATAATAATTGTTTTGTTTATATATAGAAATCTTAAGTTTACAATGCATACAAAATAAAAGAGAAAATAAAAGAAAATAAAGTAAAGTAGAGGAAACAATTTATAATAATTTGTTTATGCTTTTTTGTTTGCAATTAATTTTAATTAGGTACAACTACGATTTGTTGGTGTATTTGTATTTAGAGTAAAGTATTATATAATAGTTTGTATGTTTCTATACATATATAGTTTTGTATACAATTAGTTGCAAGTAGGCGAAAGAAATATAGAAAATAAAATTATAAACTAAATAATAATTTTTTTTTCTTATATGAATAATTTACAAAAATATTACTATAGAAAAGAATGAAATTTTCCTTACATTAATAAAGGAGAAAATCATATTTAGTGCCGAGAACAATAAAATGTAGTACTTTACTTAGTTTGCCATAGAAAATAAGAACATTTTCATTTTTGTAGGCCTTGTAAAAAATATGTTTGTGTCGTTTTGTATTTACCACACTTGATACAATATATTTGTTTGTCTTGTGTTGTGTGGATGTGCATTTATTATTATTTGTTTTCTATTTTAATCTTTCCCTTGACATTATTATTTGCTTGTATCATCCATCATAAGCCAATTTATATGCAATTATAATTATTAACACATTAAATTTTATTTTATTAGGTACTCTCTAAATCCTAGTTTTGTTTATTCAATTATTTTTTTTTTCTTTCTTTATTTGTTTCATTTTTTGTTAAGAAAGTGTGGTTTCAATTGTGTGGGTTGTTGTATTTGCCGTATATGTTTTTATTTGTATCTAAAACTAGCAATTAAATAAAATACATATACCTTTAAAGTTCATTGAATATTAATTTAATCGTTTATATATATTTTTATACAACACCATTATGAAACTCTAACGTTTTTTGTTGATCTTATTTGTTTTTCAATAATATGATATTGTTTTCCATTTATAGTCGCGTTTGTATTAAGGCTGATTTTCTTTGGTTGCAAAATTTATTCATTCAGTGGATCTGTAATTTTCCTATAAGGGAAATAATGAGGTCCCCATAATACAAATAATAAAAAAAACACTGTCCACAAAGAAAATTTTAATTTTCACATGTGTTTGAAAATGCCAAAGAAACGACCTATTTGGATTTTTTTTAAAAAATGTTTAATGATTCGAAATAGAAATTATGGTTTCTCACTTGAATTCGAACATTTTGCATTTTATTGATACATTCTGTATGTAATATCCTTTATTCATGTTTGTTATTGAATTAAATTTAATTTTTACATGTTTAAATTCTTAAATTTCTTTCAATTTTAGTATATCAAGACCAAAAGATTTTGAAAGAATTTCCAATCCTATACTATTATTTGAAAATCGAAAATATATGAATAGGTTTAATCCGAACACTTCTTTTTTTTAATTTTATAGCCTCCATAATAACCTTAAAAGAAAAATAATTTTATTTTTTAGATTACAATTTAGACTTCACTACATCCGAATGACAGATAATATTAAAATTATTATTTGCCTCGAAAACAGAGTGCCGTAAATGATTGTGATATACGTTTACACAGTTCACGGTGTAAAATATAAAATACATACATATACATTCTCCGACTATTTATGACTTATAATATAAATGAAATATGCACAAATTTTTTGTATTTCATGCCAAAAATGTAATAAAAAAGAAATTAAAAAAATTAACTCCACTATACATCATCTAAAAATATAATTCAAATATTACTGATTATAAAAATAAATACACACAAATTGTCTGGCAATAAAAAATATTTAGGAAATTACAGATCAACACTGAAAATACTTTACAAAAAAAGTAAAAAGCAATAGAAAATCACCCTTCTCAATCTTCTTCATGATGAGTATAATTTTGCGAGAAAATCAAATAAAAAGGATTATATAAATATAATTTGATTTTTCACCATAATTTTTTGGATATAAACGTTGCTTAGTTTTAATACAATAATCCATTAAAAAATAACGAAATCAATTAAGCAATAATTTTATCTTTGCGCTTAAAAATTCTAGACGACATAAAAAAGTGATCTGTTAATTGCCCCGCACCCAATATAAATTTCTTTAAAAAAAGCGGGGACTTTTTGTTTTCTATTTGTTGTTATAGTTATATGTGTCTAATATTAAGAATAAATATTTACAAACATTATATAGGAAAAGTAAAGGGGGAGGTGTAAGAAAAAACTAAATATTTTTCTTTCAATTTGCTGTTTTTTGTTTTTCTAGAATGACACATAAAGATCACGCTAGCTATCACATATTAGCAATGTGGGTGGATCTTTTTCATCAAGTGTCACCTTCTACTTTCAATAATCAATGACATATTTCTAAATAAAATATATATAATTATGTTGAAAATTATTACGAATTGTAAGAGTTGCTAAGGTATAAATATAAAAATTAGTTGATACGTAGAAATAAGAGGAAGATGTAAATGATACAAGTAACAGAAAAAAGAGAAAGTTGAATATAATTTTTTTTCATAATCTTAGTAATATAAACTAATAGTAGTAACCTTAAAAACGCGTACGTTTTATGCGTGAACGTTGTTGCTTTTGATGTTGCAGTTTATGCTCTTTGAACATTTTATAGAAATGACACAAATTATTTGTCAAATAATCGAAATTTTCAAAAAGACAGTTATAAGGTGGTGGTCGGTATGTCATCTGGCGTTCCTCTTGACATGACGGCTGCCTTTCGTTATTGATAAGCGATATTGCTGCGGCAATAGCAGGAGCTGCACTTGCAGTTGCCGTTGCTGCTGTACCACTGTCACTATTTGTATCCTTGATTAAATTCGATTCACTAAAACTATTTGTGGCAACTGCAGCTGCCGTTGCATTAGCTTCGGTGGTCATCATCTTTGTGGCATTATCATTATTGGCAAAATAATTGTGCACTATTGGAGTAGCATTAAATGGCAAAGAGGGTGGTAGTGATAGTTGTGGTGGTGGCTGTGGGTCTAAAGATGGTTCAGGGTGCAGCTGTTGTTGTTGTGTATGTATATTATAAATTGTTTGTTGCATCATTAAAAACCACCATTGATTGAAGTGGGCATTTTGTATATCCTTGTTATCTGCAGCAGCAGTTGTCGTTGTCATCAAATTTTTATTAATATTAATATTGCAATTATTAATTTGTTCAGTTTTTATTTCATCTACGTTGTCGTCATCATTGTCCGCCTTGTTACCATTTTCATCATCATAACTTCTAATCGACAAGCTTTCCATGTTCTTCTTCTTATTTATCATCAGTTGCTGTTTGGTGGGTATAAATGTTGTTAGCTGCTTGCAATCATGCATGAACGATCTACATATAGAGATTCAAATTCAAAGTGGGACGATAAGTTGGTAGGTAAGGTAAGGGATCGTGCGGAGGGTTGTGGGAATAGAAAATAGACAATATTATTACACAATTCTTAATTTTGGTAATTAAAAAATGCTTTCTATTTGTTATTATATAATTGAATTGCATTTTCTTAGATAGTTGTTGTTGTTGACTCACTCGTTATGTTTAAATCAGTATTTATTCGCCCCCATACCATATATTCGTCGGTGCGTAATGTGCATGTTTGCTGGCGGCTACCTGGGCTGGACTTAGGGGAGCAAATTGACTGTACTGTGTTGGGAATTGTATGTGAGCGGGCAAGGGATGTGATGGTATAACCTGTTGAGAAATAAAATTATTTATTATAATGAAACAAATTATTATACAGTTATGCCACTATTTTCTCAAAACAAATATATAAATCTTAATCCTGTATATCTTTATGACATTGATTATTAGGCAAACCACATCAATCTAATCCCTGTTTTTTTTCAAATAAAATAATAAATCGTTATATTATCTGTTTATGGGGTCGAGAAATTCATTTCTGATCTTTATTTTTAACTGTGACAACAGCCAGAGGGCGTTTCATGCATATTTTAACTATTTTTCTACTATATTTTTTAACTATTTTTCTTCCATTTCTGAGAAAAATTACAAGTTTTTCGGTATAGGAAAAAATCCTTTTTTTAAGTGGAGCTCCATACAAATTGGCCCGCCCTAATATATATATATATATATATATTTCTTTCTGTATATTAATATTTAACATCATCCCTTCCCATGAATATTTAATTTAGTATTTTCTATATTCATATTTTGTTACTTAAAATGTAGCATACAGCCTGCCTTAAGGTCGAAGGGCTGGACTGCTAAGAATCGGAATAAATAAATACAAATCTATATTACTTTTAAAATTCCTCTGAAAACATGAATTCACAATCAGATAATCTTCACACTCAGATAATCTTCATGTTTTGCATGTATGAACCATAAACTCAAAAGCAGTTCTTGATTGCAAGTCCGTTCTGAATGATATACGACGTATAGTTAACTTATGTCGGGTTCCAGGACATAGTGACATAGAAGGGAACGAGATAGCCGAAGAGCTTGCTCGAGGGGGCCCACAATCGTCCAATCTTGCGATTGAGAGAACTGTGCAACCACCCATTGGCTATTTCATTGACAAACTCTGCTTGTTCTACGGCGAGGTAGTCGGTAACAGATGATGAGAGAACCTGGTTGAGAATCTGAAAAATTATCTGGCCTGAATTCTCTCACCGAAGAACTTCTTCGCTGTTGGCACATAATAAGAGAGAGATCAAAATCATTGTGGGGATCATAACAGGTCACTGGAGGATTAGATCTCTCACTTCGAAATGGGACTCCACCGGAAAGGATTACTGTCGTCTATGTGAGGACGAAGAAGAGCTAGAAACAATTGAACATATTCTATATAGATGCCCATCGCTGTTTGGCAGAAGACATAAACAGTTTGAAAGATATGAAATTGATAATCTAGCCTTCTTCTCTAAAATAGACCCGAACCAGATCCTAGGCTTTGTCAAATATCTGGCATGGCTAAAATAACCATCTCTAGGATCTCCTTCTCCTACTACCTTTTCCTCTCTCTTCTCTACCCGTTCTCTTTTCAGGTATAACGAATGATCACAATGGACAATAGTCTGCGAGTGGACGGTTGTTACTAACAACCGTACATCCCTAACCTAATCTATGTATGGACAGTTCTCAAGTTTGTCAGGAAATCAAATACAATTACCCAGACAAAACATAGGAAACTATATTGGATCTGATAAAGACGTATCTTAAGATTCTCATAATGCTGTTTTATCGTTACTAAATTTATTGTTATGTAAAATCTATACTCATTTTTCAACATTGAAAATAAAGGAAACTCGAACAGTTATAATGCTGATCGTTATATTCGGAACTAAGCAAGCAAGCGCAGTTCGATAGTCTACTTTGTTTAGAACAAAACTTGGACCTGATCATTTTTTAAGAATATAACCCTCAAAAGGAAATACATACCTGTCGACTTGAACTATTATGTGCTGGCGGTGGAGCAACAACTGCACGATTATAGGCATATGTTGGAGCTGCTTGGGAAACAAATACCGTTGGACGACGGTACATATCACCCTGAACAGCAGCAGCCGCATAAATATCCTGTTGCAATATGGCTGCTGCAGCGGCCGCCGATGATGGCGAATTACCCATCGGTGTTGTTGTATTACCCTGATGTGACTGGCCACTACCAGACGATGATTGCTGCAATTGAGAACTTTGTGATGGTTGCCGGTAGACTTGAGCTGCGCCCCATGATGGTGGACCAACAGCTGCGGCTGCTGCAGCGGCGGCCGAAGATGATGACGACGAACTCTTCGAATGAGCCATGGGCGGATGAACCACAGATGTACCCGATGATGTTGGTTGTTGTACATAACCGCCACCACCAGCACCAGCTGAGGATGGCGCAACCGATGGAGCTTCACGTTTATGGTGTGCTATCGGTGGAACAGCACCTGATGATGATGATGAGGATTGATGCTGAGAACCACTGCCACACGATGATGTATTGGCGGCTGCCCATGAGGAACGCTTATTGTCAATTTGCTGTTGTTGATGGGCAGGATATTCGTAGAATTCTACAGGTTCCTGTTTGGTGGGCAAGTGTGGTAAGCTATTTGATGGCTGCGACTGAGTCTGTGAACTGCTGTTAGTGCTAGAATGCGACGAGGGCATATAGCACTCATTTTGAGCCATGGCCAATATACGCTTCTTCTGTGACTGGCCCGGTTCATATTTTACATTAGCTGTGGCTGGATAAGTAGGCGTCTGTTGCGGCGCTTGATGCTGTTTGGGACTGTTACTAGCTGCATGCACAGTATTGGTACTGTGACCACCATTGTTGGGGTTACGTCGTCGCATCTCATCATGATCGTTGTCACCTACGGTTACGCATGGTATTACTAGTTGTACATGTTTAGAACGATGGTGGTTGGTTATTGATGAGGCAGAGGAGGATGGGATATGGTTTTGGGTTTGGTTATGTTGGGAGGAATTAGAGGACGTGGAGGATGTGGCAAATAGATTAGAGGATATGGAAAAATTTGTATTAGAATTTGTCGAATTGGGGGCACACGTCGATGAGGACGACGATGAAGAAGCAACAACAACATTGTGATTGCTGCTACTACCGCCGTCGCCACCACCACCGTACAAAAGATTAGAGGTTGAATGCTTATGATTTGTTTGGTTATTATGGCTATTGTTGTGAGAATTGTGTTGAATGGAAGTGGAAACAGATTTGGTATTGGAAGAGGAGGAGTGAAATATGCCACCACATGTCAGTTGATGTTTAGCCTCATTCGAATGCGAACTCGAATTGTTTTGCTGCGAATTGTGCTGACCACTGCTGCTGTGCGACGAAGTTTTGTGACAAGCGGACTCTGAGAAATTAACAAATCCCGATCCACATCCGGTTCCACTTCCGCCAACGCCAAATTCATTGCTACTATTACTGTTATTGTTATTACTATTGCTGGACGATGATGAGCTTGTTTTTGTGGAGGAAGAGAAATGATTTGTGGCATTCGATGGAATTGTTTTGTTGCTACTTGTGCTCTTATTATTACTGGGATGATCAAAGCTAATGTTGTTGCCAGCATTAGTAGAAGTAGCATTGGTAGTGGTTATGTGATGTTGATTATGATGATGGTGGTTATGGTTATGATTGCTACTATTCGAGTTGATATTGTTATTGTTAGAAGAGGAAGAAGAAGAATTGGCATTACTTGAACTATTCTTAACGGCAGCAGCAACATTGTGGGACATTTGGTGTTGTTGCGTTTGTTGTTGCTGCGTTGTTTGCTGCTGTTGTTGATGATGATGATGTTGCTGCTGTTGTTGTTGTTGATGTGATTGTTGTTGCTGTTGTTGTTGTTGAGACTGATGTGATAGCGTTTGATGAGTATGGTTAATATTCATCGCTTGCTGATAATGTTGGAACTTATTTTGATTTGTGGAATTATTTGCAGATGTTTGAGCTAATAATAAATTTAAGTAATGGAAATTAGAATTGAACATTTTATTGCATATGGAAATAAAAAGGGAATCCTAGTACCGTTTAAATAAAAACAAAGTAACTAACGTCGTTAATGAAAGCCAATAATAATGTTTGATAAATTTGGAAAATTTGTAAGAACACCTTTTTCGATCTATTTGCCACATCCCAACCAGTAAATTTAAAAGGATCACTGAACCCAATCAAAAAATGTTGGAAAACAATTTGAGAGCATATCATCGATATTGCTCTCCAACATTAGCTCAATGTTAAGAAATTATATAACAAATTAATTTACCATATGTTTGTTGTTGTTGATGATGCATTTGTTGCTGTTGTTGGCTCTGACTTTGCTGATGAGAATGTCCATGTTGATGACCACTATTGCGACAGCCGCCTAGCGAGGACGATGATGCCGAATGCTGTATCATTGAGGATGTGGTCTGTGACTGAGCATGCGCCCTTTGCTTTCCTGGTGCCGCATTTGACGATGATGGCACCGTTGGTACATCATTGCCTTCATCTTCGCTATCCGAAATCGTTATAACAGCAGACGGCGATGGGGTATCATGTATAGTTATTGTTTGTTGTTTAACAATGGCACCATGAAGTTGGTGCGCATGCTGAGGTTGTTGGCTGTGATGGGACGAAATGTGATGTCCTGCACCCGATGATGATGACGAATGGTGATGATAGCCACCAGCATTGTTGCTGCCCGAAGAACCACTAACTCCACCGCCACAATTATTGACAATGTGATGACTGCTACTGCTGCCATAAACCGGATTTGTGCTGATAACATGTGATTGATTGGATGAAGAACCGCTATGGTGATGGTGGCTGCCACTAGCACTGACAATGTCTGAAAGGGGAAAATTGCAACTTAATTTAAATTCTGAGCTAAGCTAGAACATAAAAACTTACTGCTTGAAGAGGCAGATGTAACCACTGCACCGCCAACCGCTTGACCACCATAGCTATTGCCACTGCTGCTGCCATAATTACAATTGTGATGGCTATTATGAAATTGTGGCGATACGTGAGACGTACGATTGTAGCGTTGTTGGTGGGGTGGAGAACTCTCCTTGACGCGCTTCTTAACAGGTGACAATTGTTGATTCTCCTTTTTGTCATGGCGTGGCACACGATACGAATTGCCTTTGCTCCTGTAGGATATTTAGTGGAAAAGAAACGTAATAAATTTTAAAGAAAACAGTGAATAGGTTTTGAGATATTCTTCTACTTACACTAAATGATGTACAGGTGATTCCTTTTTGAGATCATTACGAGGTATATTCAAATGTTTGGGATAGATTTCTTCAACATTCAAGAATGGTGCTGGATCCACGATTAGTGAATGTGCCGGCGCCTGTTGTGGCCATGATGGCACTAAAGCCATTTGACGGCTTGTTTGGGGCCAGGCAACACCACTAGCCTGCACACGATTAGTTAGTAGCATACGTTGACCAGACGTGGGTTCAACCATTGACACTGGTACGGGCACATTGACATATTGCTGAGAAGTAAACTTAAATTGATCAATGATAATAGAATGTGAAAAACTAAAAGTGTCAAATGAGAAAATCGTTTAAACAAAATAACAACAATTTACACTCTAGTTCATTTTAAAAGCATCCCATTAGATTTGGACGTTGTATGTTTGGGTACCAAATTCGTAGTTTTGAAAAAAGATTGCAGCGCCTTTTTTAGAAAATGGAAATAATTACCACGAGCAAAAGAAAAGCAAAAAGAAAGTAATAACCACGACATTTATGTTTTTTTTTTTTCAATATATTAAAAACTTGACTCTTGAACTCTTTGTGATGACTAGAATAGAGAAATATGGCCATCCGCGAAAAGCACACAGCCTATTGAAAATACTGAACTTTATCTCAATTGTTCTTTTAGGAAGTACATAGCGGATGAAAATGACGAACAAATTGCGAAAAATATCTCGTCTCAATCCTTAGATTTCAATACAAATTGAACTGTCATAAAATTCAAAATTTATACATTTACAGGATTTCCCGGACTGATATATCGACCAAGGAAGTATGTAAAGTAAAAAACAGATGTAAGCCAAAAAGGTATACTAGATTTACTTTTATTTGGAAATATTCAATATGCCACACTTCTTCAATGGTCCATATATAAATCAACCTCGTAGTGGGAAAAATGTCCAAAAAAAGTAGACGAGGTGAACAATTAAATGAATTGACAATCAATCGGCAAAGTAAAATAATTTCAGCGAGTAGTATTGCACATATTACCTTCATTTAAAAGTCGTTATAAAAATGTCAATAAAATGTAAAGTACAGATGTAAGATTCAGATGCCAACAATGTATCGTAATAAAAGGCGGCAATTTTAATAAAATATGAACAATTATTTTCATAGCAACCCCTTCGGAACGAACCTCATACGAAGCAGCATTGCAATTGTTTCAATGCAAAACGAGGAAACAGTAATGTTAATTTCCTTATATAGAAAACCTATAGGACAAATTTTTGTGTTCAGTTTATTTTCATCTTAAAAATATTTTATAAAAAATGCGGCATACAAAAAAGTTATACAAATTATTCAATCTCTTGAGACATTATCTGATTTCCCGAAACAAAACGAGGCAACTGGAATGAATGTCTGCAAGCAATGGCTGAGATATATATATTATCGGCAAGATAGGATTAATAAAAATCCATCATTCAAAACAGGGGTTCTTTTCCCCATCACATATGGGTATCCAGTTTAAGACCACCAGTCCATAATAACATTATTGCCATTTGCTACTTCTTCTTATGATGAACTGTGTATGTTGTTGTTGTATTTATTAAAAATCACAAATATTGTTACAAATAAAATTTTAAACTTACCTGCAACGGTGGCTGCATGGTTGCACTACCAACCACGACATGTTTGGTGGGACTGGGCATTGCCTGATAGGATGGCGGGCACAATATATTCGATACCAATTGATGCTGGAAGGTATCGGTGCGACCCTGGGCATACTGACGTCCAACACTACGTCCGCCATAGATTTGATAGAGACCATCATAAGCCAGTGGACGTTCCCGTACCAGACGTTGAACCTGACTCGTTAACTGATTGTTAATGGTAAATGTCATATTTTCCGATGTACTGGGAACGAAATTCGTTACCAATGTAGATGTGGGCTGTACACTGTGGAAGGGAAACATGATATGTATAACAATAACATTTTTTATCTGAAATGTCAGCTATTAACTTACGGATGATAATCGCCTCTTCGACAAACTTCCATCATTTGTACCGAGGCCTTAACATTATTACAGTAGACATAGTCCACCAGATGGGTTAGTCGTGTAAATGAATGATTTAAGGCGTCTGCCGGCGATAAACGTCTTTCCTGATCAATGGTTAGCATGCGTTTCAGCAGATCAATGAATTCACGGCGATCTGTTTTCTCGGCCAACAACTGACCACCCTCAAGATCTGTGGGCACATTCACTTGGCCAATATCATCCAGACAATTGAAAATATATTTCCTTGCCTCTTTACTTTTGGTGTTCGTTTCAGCCTCATGTTCTTCTATGGTCTTTAAACGCCAAAAGGGATACGTTGAATCTGTATCACGATAAAAGAATTTCGATGTCTTTGAGGCGCTGTTTAGCATATGTTCAGTGGGTAAACCTTGAGTTTGTGATATGTATCTAAAGAGAAGGGGTACGGGGTTCATTAGTGTCTACTTTGCGAATACATCATCTTTGCACATACCTGATTTGATCAAATTCCGATGATCCCGGATACAATGGCCAACCTAAAAATAGTTCAGCAACAACACAGCCCAAAGACCACATATCGATGGCTTCACAGAATGGCAAGCCCAAAATAATTTCCGGGGCACGATAGTAACGTGATTGCAAATAGGTATTGCATACCGTTTTACTGACATGTGAAGCACTACCAAAGTCAATGACTTTGACTCTGTTGGGGTGGGAAGGAACGAGATTTTAGCATTTTATTTAAAGGTTCTTCGTTTTATTTTTCAAAACTTACCTATAGGGTTGCCTTACTGGATCTACCAACATAATGTTTTCGGGTTTCAAATCGGCATGAATTAAACCTAATTGTTTAAGTTTTAATAAAGCTGTTAAAACCTGTGAAAGAAAACATTTTAAAATTTTAGTAATTGAAATGAAGAAACGTAATTTTATTGCATGTTGTCAGCTGCCATGATTTTTTCAATGGATTTTAAGAAATTTCCAAAAATAAGTATTTTCCATGAAAGTGAATTGAAAGATCGGCTCACCCAAATTACAATTGTGTGGTTTTTTATTTTATTTTTTTCAAACTCACCTGTTCCAATATGGGTCTTATGTACTTAAGAGGTAATGGTGAGAATTTATTCTGTTTCAAGAAATCATACAAATTCTGTTCGAGCATTTCGAATACCAGGCAGGTATGATTCTTGTGTTGAAAACACTCAAAAGCACGTACAAAATTGAATTCGTCAGCATTTTCTTGGCTTAAACGCGACAATATCGACACTTCAATTTGACCCTGGCGAGCATATGATGGATGATTTTTAAGAATTTTTATAGCGACAATTTCCGAGGTGCCACGTTTCCAACATTTTACCACTTGACCAAATGTGCCACGACCCAAAAATTCCAAAACCTGCAAAGAAACAGAATATGTATATTTATATATTCCACCATACCATTCCAAATGTAGACTCACCTCATATTCAGCGGATAGGGAATAGAGCACTTCATGCTGTACCAGCTGATAGTCACCGTCTGCCCCACTGCTAGAGCGTTTACTGGGGGCCTGCGTATTGGCATGGCCCCCAGATGTTGCAACTTTGGTATGAGCCGTCTTGAGGCTGTTGCTGCCCACCGCCGAGGACGCCACGTTGGTGCTGCTACTTATGACCCCAACACTGATTTCTTTGCCAGTCGTTGCCGACTCTCTTTTCGTGGGATATTTATTAATGCCAGTACTGCTGTTGTTGTTATAATTTGAATAGGGTTTATTGCCACCGTTCAACACCAGGTTTGTTGTTGTAGATGACGCTGAATCCAAACAGCCACAATCGCACTCTGTAAACCAAAGGAGAAAACAAAAACAATGTTAGTAAACTTCCAATGCAAACAACAACAACAAGAAACATTTAACAAGAATTGCGTTCTTGTCCACCTTTATCGTATGTCTTGCCTAACTTATAGACATTTCTTAGTAGATTTTGAAACAGCATTTTAGCCAGAAATTCCAAAAGACCATAGACCTCCACTTTTGGCTTTCTTTCTTTCTTTGTTAAGGTGCTGCACTTTGTTGACTGTTGGCCAACTAATAAATGTTCAGTTTAAAAAATTTACAAATAAACACAGGCCTATTGTGGATAAGAAAAGAAAATGTTCTCCATTCGCCCCTCCGCATTAGTCGCTAGCCAAAAGTATGTCTGGTCGGTCATTATTTGCTTTTACAAGGAACTCTTGAGGAGTGACACCATAAAGAAAGGTGCAGATTTGTCGTCTCAAAAAAGAAAAGAAAAACATGAAAAATAAAAACAAAAAAAGCTACACAAAACAGGAAAAGAATATCGCTTCTCTTTTCATTTTCATTATTGTCTCCGTTGTGTGGTTCTTAAAATACAACAAAAGCACCAGCAACGACATAAAAAAATAAAGTAAAGAAAAAAAAAAATACATTAACATAGCCAGCCATCAAGAAATTCCCACAGCGCCCCACTATCCATACATCCACATATTTTATAAAATAAAATATAATGTTTTTGTTAAATTTAAAAATAAGAAACATTTTCAAAAATGAAAATCCTACAACTTGGACAACAAGAAATTATAAGAGCTATTGCTTTGTTGAAGGAAAAGAAAAACAAAAGAACAAAGCGAATGCACAAAGATTTACAAATATTGTTGCGTGGCCGGCCGATGCACCGAAATCACACATTGCAACGTAGAACCGGCACCACCACTACGCACTTTCGATGTTATAAAAAAATAAAGGCGATGAACACAGTGTTTTCAAACTGATTATAAGAAAAGTTTCCTATGGGTGTAAAGACTCAATTGGAGTTTGGTTGTTTTTTTTTCAGTTGTGATGACCCCAACTAAAGAGGTCATTTACAACGTTCTGCATCACTGTTTACTTTTTATTTTCAACTACAACGACAATTTCTTGACTTCTTACAAATCGAAAGGTCGTCCACCAAATATACTGTGCAACAAGATTTTGGGATCGGAAAATTCCCTTGGTGAGTATTACAAAGACCAAATTTGCCCTAGACCATGTTTATGAGTTATGGCGTGATGATTTTTTTACTTATTTTCTTGAACCGTGAACATGCCACAAAACGAGATTTTTTGACATTTAAATATTATACAAAAATGTCCAGAGATCCCTAAATTTTCAGATAATATCGCAACAGAAATTAGTGGTACAAATTATTACTTTTTGTGCTCTTGTAGTACTTATTTCCAAAACTAATTCCGAATTTCATGATTCGAGGTGACGATAGGTTCACCCAAGTCCAAATTTTACCAGATTCATTTAGTACATATACCCCATACCCAATCCCGATTTCAGGATTCCAGCTTACCGGTTAACCTAAATCAAACATATTACCAATTAGTACCCATAAGTACAAATTTCCACCACTACATCTATACTTCAATCCTACATTCCAACAGTAATTTTTATTCAAAATTTAAGGATTGCAGCTCTACGGGTCATTTAAATTCAAATTGTATTTGTATTTAGTACCATTTAGTACACATACGTACTAATTTTCACAACTACCTATATCATACAACCAATCTTATTTCCCGATTTCAGGATTCCCTATCACCCAAATCCATATTTAGTACCATTTAATACGAATTTTAAAAACTTCCTACATACCTCTACACCCAACAATGATCCTAACTCCAAATTTGTACCATTTAGTACGAATTTCCATAACTTTTCACATATCCAAATTTAACACTACAGCTGTAATCCTAACTCCAAATTTCAGGATTTCAGTTTTATCGGCTCACACAAAATTCGAATTGTACGCAATTTGGTACCATAGGTACGAATTTTCAAAACTGCATCCATACGCCAATGCTGCACTCCCACAGTAATCTTATTTCCAAAGTAAAGTTTTCCAGCTCTATCGGTTAACCCAAAAATCAAAGTGTACCAATTATAGTAAGAGACAGGGGGCACCTTTTAAGGTGGGGCACCTTTGAACAGTGGCCATAAAAACTAGGTTTAAATTTTTTCCGACCGGCAACCACTTTTTTTGTATATTGCAATCTTGTTCTCTATCTGCGTAAACCACATTGGCTAACTTTTTCAGTTGTAGACAAAATGTACGCAGTGCCATGTAAATTTTTATTTTTTGGTTGTAAGGGCGCAGGAAGAATTCAGTGATAGTTTTCTTTCGTTAAACATTTTTTTTTGCATTCCAATAATCTATTCAAACATAACTTATGTATTTTCTTTCATATATATTTATTACAAAAAAGTCATTATAAATTTCCGTAAAATGCCACAGGTAGCGCACCTTTGAACATGCCCAGTAAACTCCAGTAAAAAAAGGAGTTTTTAACTTTTGGCTTCGATTTCTCAAAATTTCAAATGGGCTAATAAGACTACGATATTAACGGCATTTTTCACCATATTAATTTTTGTTTTTATGTCATTTTATGTTTAATAAATTTTGATTTGAATTTCTTAATTTTCGTAAATAGTTTTTAATAAATAAATGCATTTATGATATGTATGAATAATATATATATATGTATATATATTTAAACATAAACACTGTAAAAACCATGCCGTTCAAAAATACCAAGCCGGGCAGTTTTGAACACTTTGACTTCGTCCATTAAAACAGTAATAAAATATTTGTATCAAGCTTAAAGTATGGCATATGTATATTCATTGTAACTAGTAGGTACATACATATGTACCTACTAGTTAAAATTTATAAGAAAGCAAAAATTATAAAATAAAAAATTTGATGAAGCTTGAAGGAAAAACATGTTCAATTATGCCCCCCTCTCCCCTACGATTTAGAACTATTCGTACACTCAAGTAAAAAAAAAAATTCCAAACTACCTACATATCCCAATCCTGCACTCCAACGTTAATGTTAATTTCAAATTTAAGGATTCCAGCTCCATCGGTTCCTATAAATTAAAATTGTACCAAATTGAGTACTATTTAGTACATTTCGTGTATATGAGTACACACTACCAAAACCATCTCCTTATATCGACCCTACTTTTATATGTTGATTTGCCTTATCTGACACCTTCGGACTAAGAAAGATTCTCACCGCAAATTTCAAGATTCTAGCTTCAGCCATTTAATCAACCATTTATCAACTGTAAAATGACTTCCTCAAAACAAGATTAAAGTTTTTTTCTGCTTTGAAACACTGTGCACTATGATTAGATGCAATATTCCTCAACATGGAGAGACCACAAATGATTGGCAGCAGACAGTGAGTGCCTGACCGCTTTTGGTTGGCATCCCACCATCACCACCACCACCATTGCCACTTTATTTATAATGGACAACGCCATCTACAAAAAAAAAAGAATGCATAAAACCAGCTAGGCAAATTTAGATTATTGCAGTTGTTGTTTCTATATTTTTTTTAAACATTCTTGGTTATCTATTGGATTTTTGCTTTGTCAGTTAATGTATCACTGTAAGTGAGAGTCCACCATAAGTGTGTGCATGTGTGTATGTTGCGGCACAAAAGTTGTTGTCTGGCCAAAATAAATATTTATTAGTACGAGTATTATTTTTTGTGTTGTTGTCGCATTTGCTATTTGTTGCAGCTGCACAGAGAATTCACTGAACTGCATCACAACCACGCTCAACAAACCAGCTAACCAGCCAGCCAACCATCTAGCAATCCAACATCCGCCAACTTTGCGCAGCAAGTGTGAATGCATTACTTTTTCTCTAATTTATCTATTCGAATCGTAACACTCATCCAACACTGAGTCGCATTAGTCTGTCTGTTCATTGGTTTATTTTTTTAGAAATTGTGTGTTTGGAGTTTCAATTTTTATTTGTTTGTTTGTGGCTCACAAAGAATAGAATGCAAGTGCCGGTCAAAAGCTTAGACATTTCAAATAAACTCTATCCCTGAATAATAGCTGAAATGGCATTAATTAATTGTGTGTCAGTTTAGTGAAAGTATGGATCGGAGGCGAACATCATTTACATAATGTGGGTACTTCAAAATCAAACACAAATTAATAGATGGATATATGTTTTGTGGGAAAGTGTACAGTTTTCAAAAATTACCACAATTTATATTGTAATAATAAAATAAGATCATTGGCGACCTACTGGGACCAATACTAACACAAATGTTGATAAGGTTAGTTCGAATAGAAACCAAAAAGTATTTTTCCCAAAACCAAAACGCATTTAATTCGTCAATAGAGAAATAAGAGGATCGGAAGGCTGAAATCAAATAAACATCCATCACTTAAACTAAAATTCAATATGATTCACACGAACCTCAAATCTAATACATAATTCGCACGATATTATAAAATTAATTTTTGGCCAATTGTTCATTATACCCCACACAACAATGTTGTCAGTTAAATGTTGGACCCACCTTTTAATTTACCTATTGTCATATATCGAGTTGAGTTGGTGTATCCGCTCGCCCGTCTGTCAATTATACATTGTAAATACGATGCCGACTAGAGTTATGGACCAATCGACAACAAAGATGATCCCTATTGTTTTTGTTAATGATCGTTTAATATATAGGACCAAACATTTTATTTTTGTCTGTTTTACTAAATTTTACACGAGGAATGGTATTTGATAATGTAACAATCACGGCTCTTTTCATGACAACTTGGCAATATGTTGCGTGTCATATGGACCCGAACTTTTGTGTGAAAAAATACAACTTTTACATGCTATGGCCTACATATTTACTCTGAAGAACATAAAGATAAGTGGTTGGTTTTTGAATTGATACAATTATATTGTTGTATGTGAGGGTTATATATTTAAAGATGTACAGGGGTCTATTTATTCTGATACGGTTTAGTATTACCATCACCACATTAAAGGGCAGAAAAGTCGCGCGATGAATGACTATTTTGATAATGTTCTTCAATGTTGGGAGTTTCAAATGAACCAAAATAAAAATCTTATGGCGTAAATGTTCACACCGGGGAAAAATATGAGCTGTTGATCTCTAATCGGTCAAGAGGTTGAAAATATCGCGAAATATTGGTCCAACTCTGAATATAGATTCCCAGAACGTTACAGTTCAGTGGCAGTTGTGTAGCGTATCATATACCGACA